CTCAAGACAGGGCTCGTACCAGGGACTGGAGAACTACTGGTCATTATAGACCAGTAACTCTCACTTCTGTTACAGTACAGTCACTCAAGACAGGGCACGTACCAGGGACTGGAGAACTACTGGTCATTATAGACCAATACATTTAACTGACATCTGTTATATACGGGGTTATGGAAATGGGAACTAGAGGATCTTCTGTACGGAAGTAACATCCTAGGGAATATGGGATTTAGAAATGCCTGATCAACTCGATAAGAGATCCTCTCACACTGTGAGACGACACCCAGTAAGCAACAGTAGTAATGCAAACGATTGTGAAACTCTCACACCAGCAAATTTAAGGTCGCCAGCTGTACCTCTCAGACCTCAGCTCACAGCTCCCTGCGCCCCCCCACACGGGGGAGGAAGAGGAAGAGCCAAACATGTCTTCCTCACCTTCGAGACCTTTACTTGTTCACATTGCATTCGCTCACACTCATATTCAAGCACTCACGTGCACTCTCACACTCCTGTACAGGTGTACGCAGACGTGTGGGCACCCCTGGCCAAATGACATGTCTAGTAAGTGAAAAGAAGTTAACCTCTGCAGCGAACAAACTTAAACTGAACATATTTCTGCAAAGTTTTATGCACAGTTGCTATTTATTGGCTGAATTGGACAGATGAAAAAAAAATAAAAACAGTAGATGTGGCATGTGGAAACGTTTGGGCACCCTATTGGTCAGTACTTAGTAGCCAGCTACAATCCAGTCCTCGAGCGGTATAATCAAACAGCGGAGTTAGCGGAACCTTATGTATACGTGCATACCGTGTCTCTCTTCACACACACACACGTTAAGCAACTATTACCAAGGCTGATGAACGCTACTGTGCCATGGTGGACACACACAAAAAAATCACTGCCTACCTCTGTTGTGAGGTTTTGGGTATTCTAGACCGGATACAAGCGTCGGGGCTTGGAATTGAATATGGAGATAATCTCATCACTGTCTACAGTCGGCAAAGTCAAATGACAGCTAGTTTGCAAAGGTCTCTCAGGACTTGTCTTTAGCTAAAGAAAAGCTGCAAGAGCTCATTTTCACTTGTTGCTTGTAACAGTCTCAAGTATTTCGTATGCCTGCTTTTAGATTGCTCAGTAGTTTTACGCGTTACTCTGAAGTTTATTTTATTAATATTTAATTTTATTGCAAAACGCAAGATTCGAAATCCGTCCGAAATATTGTATTTAAAATACCATACAGGGTTTACCTTGAGCTCCGTGACGTTGGCCCCCCACAGACGGCACACACGATGAAACCCACCTCACTCGTTAGGACTTCGTTTGAGCCGTGGAAAGTAACTCCCCAGCTTCTTTCTTTCCCGAGATATAGTGCCTTCTTTTGGGGGGCTGTGACGTCACTCAGCCCCCCCCTACAACATCGTAGGGGAACCAGACCGGTCTCAATCGTTTGTGCTGTTGAAAGTGGCGTTTGTGCTGCTGTCGTTCCCGAAATATAGCGCCTTGTTTTTTCCGGTGATCACGTGACTTTGACCTCCAGTGACCCCGTCTGCAGAGTTCAGGCGTCTGTTACCGGTGCGAGAGTAACAGTTCTGCAATTTTGTTTCTCTGTTTGCCCGGGTGGGGGGGCAGCGGTGGATTTTGCATTTAATATCTGTGCGTTTGAGTAAGCAGGAAAAATAAATTTGTCACGAATATCACAAACCCTAATCAGAAGAGTTGCGGGAGTAGTCTCAAAAAGCGAACAGTAGCAAACAATTGCATGTTCTTACCAAGAAGCTTTAACAAGCACGTCTTAAAAACCTGAAGAAGTGAGCAGTTTCTCAGTTTCCTTCTTAAACACGCGCACGTGTAAAGAGTCGACCCGTCAGTCGAGCCACGTGTTCAAAAAGGCTTGAATCTGCAACCTCACGAACAACAAGACCACTGTTATAGTTTTTTATGCAAAGCACATTCGTTAACGTGAAAAAGAACCAGGGTGTTTTTTTAAGGGGCACTACGTACAAGGTTGTCGCGGGTAGTAAATAACACATCCGAGAAGCAACACTGGAAAGTCCACCGTCTCACACCTGCGGACCGCGGCAGAATTGGAAACTTTTTTTTTTCACTTAACAGAAGCGAACATATATCCGAATTCTTTAATAAACTGTCATTATCCGTGTTTGTATTACCAGGGGTCTTATGCGCAAACATGAGATGTGCTCACAGTTCTTCAATCTTTGTGTGTCCGGACAGTCCTTGGTGTAGAGTACAGCGTGAGGGCACACCTGCCCTCTGAAGACACAGGTATGGGCGCCTGTGTTAGATCCTCGGGTGAAGTCGAGTCTCCTGCAGTCTGCAATGTAATGACCCAGACATGTTTGCTTGTCCTGCTCCATGCCCACCCGCCCATCGAAAAGAACAAACGACGAAACTCACCGCAATCGTTAGTGCTGCGTTTGTGCCGGTTTGTGTCGCTGTGAGTAGCGTTTGTGCTGATTTCGTTTCCGAGATATAGCGCCTTGTTTTTTCGGGTAATCACGTGTCTACCTACAAGGACATTTACAGGTACCGACAAACTCTGTACTTGAACTGGTTGTGATGGAAAAAAAGGGGCAATACGTTTTCCGAGTCTGTCTGGTCGGGTGGGGGGGATGTTTCAATACATTTTAATATAGCGCCTTCTTTTCCTGCCTTGTGAAAAACAGCACAGTCACGACCACCAGATCTTTCAGTTGTGATCTTTTGATCAGTTGACCCCAGACTTTGCAGCCTTTACACGAATAAACAGTCTTAAATTTAGAGAGGAGTTTCTATGTTAGTTCATTGGGTTAGGTGTTTTCTTTTAATTTTTAACCATGTTCTCGAAAATGTATTGCTTGTGTACTCCTTTCATTGGTGAAGAGACACCAGTTTCCAAATTACCGCTGGTACAACACGAGAGCAATTTTAGGTATTCGTTTCAAGATCGATATAATTTAACAAAAAAAAAACAAAATTGAAAGCACGAGCATAACAATATAATGATCATATACTTTACATTTCTATTCATTTTTGAAGTACAAAGCGGAAGGTGTTTCCCCTAACTTGAATATACGATTAAAATTGTTCAAATACCATGTTTTCATTACAGAAAGCAGCGGATACAGTTATACTGCAAATAAAAAAATGATTTATTCCGAAGAGTACGGGACATTGTGAATCAATAAAGACGTTTAAAAAAATAAGCCGATGTAGTTATTTTGCAAATACGTAAAGCATTTTTAAAACAGATTTTCATTGACAGTAAACAAGCCGATCCACCTGGCGCTTCTAGCTTGAACAGCTCTCAGACCCGTGATTGGCTAAACCCCCGAACAGCTCGAGCCGCGATTGGGTGAAGAGTGAGAAGCGATACTCTGATTGGGTGAAGCGCCACAGCGGAAGTTCCGAGAACATGTAGATGCACAGGTGATGGGTGTTTAACCGGTTAACCGTGTGTGCTGTATGAGCACGAAGGATATACAGTAACACATCCATTGTTTTTCAATTATTTATCAATCTAAGAGAAGTCGCACTGAGGTCAAAATTGAATAGCAGACAAAGAATGTAATGGCATCCACAGCGCGTTCACGACTCCGATTGCATATCACGATAGTAGTGCGCGCATCATGATCACATCGCTATATGACATACCCCGACAAAACGCCCCGTCCCCATGTCGCGACATGGAGTCCGCATATCGTGATACGGCGTACCCCGACAAAACGCCCACCCCATGTCGCGATATGACATGCCGAGCCAAAACGCCCTCGCCCCCATGTCGCGACATGAACCCCGTATATCGCGATATGACATACTCCGACAAAATGCCGCGTCCCCATGTCGCGACATGGAGCCCGCATATCGCGATATAACGTAATCCCCCGACAAAACGCCCACCCCATGTCGCGACATGAATCCCGCATATCGCGATATGTAATACCCCGACAAAATTCTCCACCCCCATGTCGTGACATGGAGTCTATATGTTGCAATATGACATACCCTGACAGGATATGCTGACCCCATGTCGCGACACAAAGCCCATATATCGCACTCAACACGTCCTATCTGGGTATCTCATGTCCTGATACAGTATCTTTGTTGCGACAGCGGTGCCAGGGTGGCATGGAAGCAAGGCGCCAGTCGTGATATACACTGCAGCGATATACATGGGGTCCCTATCATGACATGCTGCGGAGGTCTTGTCGCGATGGTATCCCACAGTTATGCGTTTGGCAACAACGTGTCACGGTAGGGAAAGTAAAGGAAAACGTGATATGAAAATAAAAACCATAGATCTTACCATCACGGTGATTTTGCGTGCATTACGACCACTGGTTTATGTCATAGATGGTTAACTTGTTGGCACACGTCATTTCTAAGTACTGTAACGTCACCGCCCTTCCCTGTGAATAGCGGGGACCTCAACCTATCTCCCTTTAGCTCAGTTGGCTGGTTTCCTGTCGAGTCCCCAGCGGTGGGGAGACCTGAGGCGGTAGCGGCAAGGGCGCATACCCACGTGAACCCGAAAGCGCTACAGTATTCTTTACATCTAAGGAGGCTCATATGTTTATGGATATTGTATTTAAAATGTTAAGATAGATACTTTATTGATCCCATGTGGGAAATTGCAGAAAATACGATCCAAACTGTAACAGAGCGCTCGAACTCGGCAGACGGGGGTCACTGGAGGTGACCAGTCACCGTGCATGGTCTCGTGTTCACCGGAAAACCAGGCGCTATATCTCGGGAACGAAAGCAGCAAACGTAGCACTAACGAATGAGACCGGTTTGGTTTCCCTACGACATTGTAGAGGTTGGAGTAATGCCTCGCCCCAAGGGTTATATAGAGTGAGGCGCTGTGAGAATAAAAACCGCGAAGGTATTAAAATATTAAGTTCTGAAGATCTTGTTTGATCCTTCATGATGCTTTTAAACTTGTATGAAACCCAGAAATTAGTATTCTATTTTCGATGCCAAAAGACACCTAAATGGGAATTTGTGACTTACTTCCCACAAGACAACACTGAATTGTTATAATCGTATTACAGTGCTAACCAATTCATCGTACTTTTAATTGCGAGAGTGGTCTGCTAATAAAAGCTTCAAATATATACTTTGGATGTATTTTAGCTCTGTAAACATCGTTCACTTAAAATACTGCTGGGCATTTAGAGGCGATCTGAATAGTTATCTGTAAAATGCACACTCGCATCTACACGTCGTTTTATTTTTTTCCAATCTGTTCAATTCAGCAAATAGCAACTGTGCACTACAATATGCAGAAATATGTTAAGTTTAAGTTTGTTTGCTGCAGAGGTTGTGTTAACTTCTTTTCACTTCGAAAATCAACAAAACGTAGCTTGGCCAGGGGTGCCCAAACGTTTGGATACAACTGTACTCACACTGCAAGCTGTATCTTCAAGAGCCCAGATAACTCGTCCCACCTACGCTCAGTGGCATTCAGCTCCACCACCTGGGGAATCATGCTGACGCTCGGCTGGAAACGTCAACCAGGTTCGAACCCATGTTCGCAGAGCTCAACTTGGGGGCGTCCGGTTTGGAAGATCTATGGCCAGTCCAGTTTCCAGGGTCCGTACCCAGCTAGCCAGGGGTCAGGAGTCAGCAGGAAAGATGCAGCAGTGAGTTTAGTAGGAGCTACAGCCCACTCTGTGTGTCGACCACAGTCAGTCTCTCCACTAGAGCTGTGTGTGTGTGTCACAGGACTTACAGAGAAAGTGAGAAGAGGTTCGCGAGGCCACCTTGTTCCTCCACCCGGCTGTCAGCTGCTGAGGATATGAAGACACACGGAGAACCCTGGATCTTCTCGGGGCCAGACCTGGAGTTGAAATCATCAGGGTTCTATGTATTTGTTCCTGATCCATTGTGTACTGCTGTGTGAAGCTGATCAGTTCTGCGCTTGGTGTTGTGTCTCACAGCTTTTGTGTCTGGGCTGATTACAGTAGGTGTCAGGACAGTGCTGTGGTTGGCTGGTGCAGTATGAAGGGACCATCATTATATTCTAGTGACGGCTGAATTCCTTACAGCCGACATTCATCAACACACTCAGTTGCCCTCACCCCACTCCCAACACTGATCTGGGTTCACAACCAAGACCCTCATCAGGCTGGGTGCTAACGAGCAGCTGCCCTGCAGGGTGCTGCGTGTGCAGTGAGGAGTCAGGCATGGGGAGGGTGTGCTCCAAAACTGATTGCCCTGCAGTGTGAGGGTGCACAGTTGATTGGAGGGTCGTGCTCTGACCCCTCAGTGGCCCTGTGAATACACCTCTAATTGCCTCTAATGAAGCAGGAGTGGGCAATGTACCAGGGCTGCTGGGGCCAACGAGTGGGTGGCTGTTAGCTCTGTGCAAGGAGCAGGGTTGACTTAATTTGAGCACACAGCCAGACATCACAGAAATCCATTACAGTTTATTGCCATCAAGTGTTCTCAGCCAAGACACTATTGGGCTAAACTGACACCGGCTTTCTCCTGGCTCCTGGAGGAAAGATCTCTGTGCTGACAGGCTCTGTGCTGTATTCTATACAGACAGGCCACTCTATCCTAATGCAGATCTGCTCCTATATGGTGCCTTCCCTACTGAAAGATCTTGGGACACCTTACAACAGGGGTTTCAGTTCCAGGTCACAGAAGGCAAATGTACTGTATTCCGCACCTTCCATTGGGTCTCTGGCTTTACCAAATGTTGACACAAGGGCAATGAATGGTTTCGATGTTGTGTTGATCAATGGCAAAAAATCCCAACAGATACACTTCGATTTCATATTGTAATAATAAAATGTGATACGCTCCCAAAGGGGGGTGAATACTTCTGATAGGCACTCTACATCAGAAAAAGATCCCTGCGGCACCACTGGCCAGGTCTGCTAGGTGAGGCTCCACCCCATCGGACCACACTTGTTTCCTGTTTGAAAACCAGTTCTGCCCCCCCACTGCCAAATGTATCTTGAATTCCTGTGACTTTTAATGTGGAAACCAACCTTCTGGCAGGGACCTTATCAAACTCCTTCTGAACAGATCATGACATGTGCCCTTGTGTTGTGCGATGTACTTATGTCCCATGCTTGTTTGAAGAGCTCAATAAAGTTAGAGAAGCCCCCCCTGAGCCCACATGGCCGTCTCTGAACGAGCCCTTGTTCCGTACCGTAGCCCAAACTCTCACTTCCAGAGCCCCCCCAGGGCAGCTGTGAGACAGGCCTGCGATGTCCTGGGGCGGTTCTGCACCCTGCTCTGGGAGTCTCCACCCGGGGGCGCCCCTGCTCTCAGGGAGCTAATGTAGGCTGAGACCCCATCTCTGGTCACAGGGTACCTGCAGAGCTACGAGCTGAGCGCACCCCAACATCCACGCCTCAGGGCTCACTGTGCACAAGGCCAACAGACCGCACACGGCACCAAGATCCTCTAATCCGTTTTATTGTTTTTGAGCAAAAAAGGAAAAAAAAAAAAGAAAGAATAGTTACAGAATTATTTTATCCATTTTTTTTTACAATGTTAAACTAAAAACGCAGCTCTACGCTAGAGTGTAAGTAATTCTGAAACACAACAGGGTTAAATAAGAGTTTCTTTAAGATACAGGATGATACTTCTCTTCAATTTTAAACAGAGAACAGCTCTTAAGGTAGAAGCACCCACAGTTGTAACAACCTCCCTGGCCCGCGCCCCGCGCCCACGCGGAGAGACCGAGACCGAGTCCGTGACTGGGCAGAGCCTGCAGCGTGGAGCGCGGCGCTGGGCTGGCGCCGGAGTCGCAGCGCGGCCCGGGGTCTGCCAGCCCAGAGCGGCGCTCCCAGCTCCCGCCGCAAAAACCAGGAGGCAGCACTGTGATTCCCGGGAAGCACTGGAGTCACAAATCCCTGAAATATCCCCCCCTCTCGCCACAGCAGGCCAGAGGCAGAGCCCCTCCCCGTGACACTGTCCCCGCCAGGGGTTCCCACACTCCCCGGCACCGGCGGCCTCTGCCTGCTCTCCCCGCGGGCCCAGCTCAGGCAGGGGAGGGCGGGCCGGAGAGCTCTCGACCAGTCTGCTCCAGTAACCCAGACCTCAAGACTGCCACCGACCAGCAGACGCCATTCTGCCCGTCTTGCTTCCGGTTCAGATCCAGCCCTGTCCTGAGGAATTCCAGGGACTCCGCTAAACCGGACTAACGGACACAGGGAATCTCAGTCTGAGAGGGAACCCGGACCCGCTATGCGCTGTTGGGGGGGGCTGGGCCAGAGGCTCAGTCACAGAGATGGGGCTCCTGCTCTATGACATCATAGCGAGACAGAGGAACTTAAGGCTGCACGAGTGAGCGAGACACGGCCACTCTGGGCTGTACTGGGGTCAGTATGGGTTCGCTTTGGCTGTGCTGGGATCAGAACTGCCATACAGTGGTCAGCTTGGGCTGTACTGGTGTTGGTGTAGGCATCTTGGGGTCAGTATTGTACTGTACTATGGTCTGTGAGAGTGGACTGGGAACAGTGGGTCTGTACCATGGTCTGTGAGAGTGGACTGGGAACAGTGGGCCTGTACCATGGTCTGCGAGAGTGGACTGGGAACAGAGGGCCAGCACCATGGTCTGTGCGAGTGGACTGGGAACAGTGGGCCTGTACCATGGATTGTGCAAGGGTACTGGGGGAGAAGTATGGCCTGTCCTGGGGCTACAGAGCCTACACTGGGGGCGGTGTGGCCTGTACTGGGGTCACTGGGGACTGTACTGGGTCAGCGAGGTTCTGGGACAGGTGTGGGCACTGTGTCGGTGCGAGGCTCCCCTCCGGGTGCGAGCGGGGCATGCTCAGGAACACTCCTCGCCGATGCGCTGGCACGAGCGCCCCACCTTGCGCTCCAGCTTGACCATCTTGAGGACAGCCTCCTCGCGGCCGCGGCCCAGGTGGTCAAACAGGCAGTCGTGCTGCTCGGGCAGGCGGTGCAGCATGCAGAACACGTAGCCTGAGAAAGCAAGGGGGAAGAAACACGAGACAGCGTTCAGAGCAAACTACAGAAGGACACCGAGCGCCCCAGGGCCAGCTCAGAGCGCAGAGAAAACCACAGAACAATGCCTCTGTTTTCATTTTGCGCCACAAACGCTACGTACTCTGTTTTGGTCCTAAACGCAAGACTAGGTGTAGCAGTGGCCAGCAGACAGCGGGACTGAGAAAGCACCACTGGCAGCAGTGTTAAACCAGCCCCAGCAGCTCTAGCAGTGGAATTAGCATTTCACAGCCTCAACTAACCACAGATTACATGCCGACACCCGTCATATACTCGTTATCCTTCTAATGTATTAATTAATGCACATAATATTCCTGACATCAATGAGCACTGATTAAAAGCTTCGCATGACAAGCAGGCGTGCGTCAATTAAACTGATCAAAATTAAGTGCTGGTTAAAAATAAAGACTTAATATTGCTGGCGGCGCTCCAGGTGGGTTAAATGCATTCTAACTGACAGCACTCCAGACTTCACTCACTGACAGGTCTGCTGTGACGGCCAGGGGCCTGCAGGAGGCGCACAGGCACACACCACAGCCCCATGTCACACTTCCTACTGCCCC